TGTTACTGGCGTCTGTGTGTAGTTCAGTGTCGGCATATTTGTCGTAGTGTCCGAGTAAGGGCTCAGATTGGAGACGCTGCTGGAGCTCGGAGAAAGCGCGTGTTTGCTCAAGGCCCCACACGAAGGGAACGTCGTCTTTTGTCAGACGAGTGAGGGTTCGGCAATGTTTGCGAAATTTTGCACAAAGCGTCTGTAGTATGCGCAGAGGCCTGAAAATCGACGCACATCACGTTTGTTTGTAGGTGGTGGAAAATCAGCGACAGCCAATGTTTTGTCTGGGTCCAGCCGAATACCGTCAGGGCTAACAAGGTGACCGAGGAACTTTAATTCGTTGTAACCAAAATGACATTTTTCTGGTTTAAGTGAAAGGCCTGCCGTGCGAATTGCAGCAAACACAGATCTAAGTCGCTGCAAATGCTGCTCAAACGTTTGGGAGAAGGCAACGACGTCGTCTAAGTAAACAAGACATGCTTCCTTTTGAGACTGGAGAGCACTGTATCCATCATCCTCTGGAATGTCGCAGGGGCAGAACACAGACTGAAGGGCAGCATCTTGAATTCATACAGACCATCAGGCGTTATGAATGCTGTTTTCTTTCGGTCGTGTTCATCAACTTCGATCTGCCAGTAGCCACTGCGTAAATCTATAGAGGAGAAGTATCGGGCGCGTCTGAGGCGGTCTAGTGAGTCGTCGATGCGCGGAAGCGGATAAACGTCTTTCTTTGTGACTTTGTTGAGTTTGCGGTAATCGACGCAAAATTGGAGAGTGCCATCCTTCTTTTTTACTAGTACGACGGGGGACGACCATGGACTGTTCGAGGGTTACATTACGCCATTCCGAGCATCTGCTTCCCTTGAGAACGTATACCCTCTTGTTCCTTTTGTGATACTCGGTAGGCGTGCTGACGTATGGGTCTCTCAGCATGGTCAGTTACAATGCGGTGCTTTACGGTTGGCGTTTGTTTTATATTGGATGTAGATGCGAAACAGTCGCTAAACATGCGGAGGATAGAGCGGATTTGCTCTTTCTGTGCACATGACAGCTTCGGATTGACATCGACTGCATTGGCTACCGTGGTGTCACTTTCAACGGCTGCAGAAATTGGGGCTATCGTCGTACACGCTTGATCGTCAATGAATTCGAAATGAGCGATAGTTGTTCGCTTGGGCCAAATGTTCGTATGCTCCACTAAAATTGGTGACCAACAACTCAGTCATCCCACGTTTAAATTGAATTATGCCGCGGGCAACACAGATTTGCTGAGGCAAGAGCACCGAAAGGTTGGCTTCAGCGATACCACTACTGTCATGGTCTATGTCGCCCTGTACTGTAACGAACATACTGGTGCGTGGCGGAAGTGTGACGGTGTCATCGACAATGCGAAGCGCCGTCTTCTGCGGATTGGTATCTCTAGGCTTCGGGCCATAGTCGTCAGCAAACGTTACGAGGCAGTCTCGAAGATTTATAACAGCGCCGTGACACGAAGGAAATCCATGCCAAGGATAACTTTCCGGGAGCATTCGGGCAGCACAACGAAAGAAGCAACGAACGTCGACTCACAGATTGGCAGCCTTGCGGTGCATCTCCTGATTGGTGTCAAGAGATGACCACCGGCTGTCCGAAGATTTGGTTCATGCCCCCAAGGGGTCGTGACTTTCCTGAGCTCAGCCACAAACTCAGCGCTGATAACTGAGTAGTCGGCGCCGGTGTCGACCAGAGCAGTCACTGGATGGTTGTCGACACGAACGGCAATGTCAGCAGAAACGGGTTCGTCAGCGATGTGAGGTGTCGGCTGAAAGGAATCATCAAAGGGCGGTGGAAGGGTCGGAGGAGGCTGTTTTGACGATAGCTTAACAGCGGTCCCACCCCCGGAAGCCGCTGATTCTAGTTTCCCTGGCGTGAACTTGGGGACCTAGCGGATCGTCCCGCAACAACATCGGCGAATGTGGAGTATTTATTCACGGACGTAGAGCATCGAGGAGACGAAGAGCGTGATTGGCGTCGCTGAAGATTCGGAGACGGTAGACTTGCCAAGTATTCTGCGATGGCGCGGGGTCGTTCGCCGTCTCTGGGCCAACGAGCGTCTGGCCGAAATCCAGGTAGGCCCATCTGTCTGTACGAGCACTCTCGATACAAGTGACCTGGCTCACCCCAGTGGTAGCATAGGGGCCGATTGTCGGAAGCGCGCCACACGCTAGATTTCCGCAAATTAGGTCGCGGATTCTCATATTGTGGTGCATTGAGAAGTACTGCGGCATCTGCAGGCAAGGCAGTCGTTGGTTTTTGTAGCGTGGCCCGCCCGAGAAGTGCTGTGGCGTCTGCAGGCTAGTCGGTCGGCGGAAACAGCTGGCTGCCGGTGCAGGAGTACGTATAGCTTCCGCATACGTTAGCAGAGGAGCTTCGGTTGGAGGTGGCGCTAATGGTCGTACCAGCTGCCGCACGTCTTCACGGACGACGTCTGTCAGAGCAGCCACTTAAGGCTGTGAAGGCACTGTGTGAAGCTTTTGCAGCTCGTCGCGTACAATGCTACGGACTAGCTCAGCAAGGTCGCTCATGCTCGTGACATCGGGTGTTACCAAGGGTGCTGACAGACATGCAAGGTTGTCGGACCGCTCATACTGCGAAGACCACTGTCTTAGCATTCGCTCCATTGTCGTCGCTTCACGGAGGAATTTTGCCATGGTAGCTGGTGGGTTTCGTACAAGTCCTGCAAACAGCTGCTCCTTGACACCCCGCATCAGAATGCGCATCTTTTTGTCTTCCGTCATTGCAGAATGTGCTCGACGGAACAGACGAGACATCTCCTCAACGAACATGGCCACGCTTTCATTGGGTCGTTGATTGCGAGAATTGAGGAGACGTTCGGCTTGTTGTTTCCGGTCAGCGCTACCATACTTGTTCCGCAGCTGAGTGCAAAACACTGGCCAGGTTGTCAGGGCGGCCTCGTGATTCTCGAACCAAATACGCGCCGAATCCTCCAGGTAGAAATAGACATACCGCAGTTTCCGGCGCTCGTCCTACTTGTTGGCAACGGCGACTCGATCGTATTGGTCCAGCCAGTCTTCAACGTCTTCGTAGGGCTCCCCATGGAAGGGCTTTGGCGTTCGAGAGGCTGGTAGCCATGGTGCTGGTGGAGTCGTGGTCAGTTCAGTCTGGCTTACAGTTGTCGCATATGCCATGGTTCTGGAGCGTTCCGGAAGAGGGCTGAACTGAGGTGGTAGGCATAGTTGCCGCCGACTGCGTCGAAGGTTGGCTGTTTCTACTAAGGCGTCGATGTTGGGACCGATATCTTCCTCGTGGTAACAGTGCATTGACTATTACCCAGCACCTCCACCACTGTCACGTTACAACGTAACTGTAACCTGCTGATAATGGCACACAAGGACGTCAAACTGATTCGAGCAGCAGCAGTACGACTATTGTTTTTCTCTGCACGCGCATCTTTGTCCTCTTCTGAACAGCGGCACATACAAGCATGCCAGCATCTGTGGAAATAATAGTTTCTTGTACTGTTGGGACGTTAAACCCCACAAATCAATCAATAGTTTCTTGTACTAGTGGCATTACCCCCCCTTCCAAATATTGCCTTGAGCAATATTAAGTTCAAATAGGACACCCTCATAGGCCCCTGCGGCTGGTTCAGGTTAGGAGCGCTTCAAACACTCGTTCGGAACCTTTGCAGCCTCACAGATTGAAGACCACTGAAAATAATGTCTCGAAGGCCATTTTATAGTGACTAGGAAGATTATACAGCCTCCGAGACCACTTCTACGTGCGTGCTCGTCTCTCAGCTCATACTTTACTTTTCTTAACGCGTCGTTTGCATGCATCAATGAGCTTCGTGTAAGCAGCACCTCTAGAGCAGCAAGCACACAACGCCAACGTACATACGCCTATGATAAATAAAACATAAGAATCATTGGAGGAACGAAAAATTTTATTTTCATGTGATATGTGGTAAGATCATGCTCACTTGATAGTGTTTGATAAACGCAGGCAGAAATCGAGGTTTATTGCATTGAGAGAAGTGAAATTACAGCTGCCATATCATGATTAAAATCAGTCACAAAAAATAAACATATAGGCAACAATATAAGAAGAACCGCAGCAGAGTAAAACAGCAATAAACGCACATGACTACACACATAATGGACAACGTGACACGGCAGTAGTTGCCTGAACACTTGACCCCGGCTGAGCCAAAAATAGAAAAGAAAAATATTGGCTACGTTTTCTTTCCCACCTTCACGCTAATTTTCTCCTACACACTTGACATTGCTCTTTCGCGGTAAACAGTCACAAGCAGTTGCCGGAACAAAAACAAAGCAATTTTAGATGTCATGCAAGCCACTAACGAGGCAGAAGTGTTTATACAAAGATTATGTGCTAGATTTAGCTAGGAACACTTTTTTTAGATTCACCACTTCTCCCTTATTGCACTCGTTAAAGCTTAAGAATTTTTCGAACGGCACAGGTAACGAATCTGAGCATAGCTGCACTTTTCACGACATCTCACTCATGCATTGAATTCAAATGCATGTAGCACCCTAAAGATCATACAACGCGAGCGGCGACTCACTTTCTTGAGCCAAGGAGCAATTTTCTAGTAAACGTGCTGCGCAGCATTTCAACCAGTTTTTTTTTGTGTGTGTGAAGCAGTGCACGAAATTATACGTGAAGTGAGGAGCACAAAAAGCTCACTGCGCCGATCAGCACAATGCGAGAAATGTTAGTTTAATAGCACTTTCCATTGGGCGAACAGGAGCACTTCTAACTGCACTCAAAGTGCTCTCGCGAGTTCTGCCGCCTTCCAGTGGTCGGGCAGGAGCAGGGACGTTGTGTTTCATTGGTCGAGAAGGAGCACTTTTTTGGCGCCGAGAGCAGCCGAGAGCAGTTCTCGGTGCTCTGTCGCCAGCGGCGTAGTAACAGGAAACGCCGAGGAAGTCACATGGCCTCTTTTACGTCACTCCTGGTTTTATCCCCGGGGTGGCGGAGAAAAAATGGCGGAATCCAGCAGCCGCGATAGTCATTCATTGCGTTCGGAAGCAGCTAAGCGCGGCCGTCTGGACGAGGAATTGCTGCAACTTTTAGATGCTGAAAGCTCCACAGGTTCAAGCGCAAGCTCATCCTCGGACAGCAGCAGCAGCAGCGATGACGACGACGATTTGACGTTGTATGAGTTTATGTTCGAGTACCTGTTCTCTCCGCTGAAGCAGCGACCGAAGGTTGAGTCGTACCTGGAAAAGACGGTTGCCGTGTATTCTGACGAAGAGGTGAGCCGCTGCATTGTACTTAAAACGCGTAATCAATAACCGGCCTGCTTTTTTTTTCTCTTTACCTCGCCAGTTTTGCAGAAACTTCCGACTGTCACGGTCGGTTGCAAATGCGCTTGCTGCCGAATTCGCGAAGTCGCCGCACTACCCTTCAAGAAGAGACCACGGAGGCCTACCCCCCAAGTCCCCTGAAGAGCATGTCTTGTCCTTTCTATGGTAAAGTATTACAATTATATAGCAGTAAAGAGAGAAGCTTAGTTGTGAGATGAGTGCCCTACTCGTGAAGCTCTGCAACAAACTCAGGCGTGTGAAATTGTCGTACGTGCTCGCCGACGCGTTCGGCAGCGTACGCATCGCATCGACCGGGTGCTGGCGGAGTTGTGCTGGAAAAAAAGCAAGAGATCAGGACGCAGGAGGTGTAGTTAAGCAGATGAGAATTTAAAAAGTGGAGGGGTCAGAAACTAATATGCAAAAGCAGAAAACGGTGAGAGAGTTCGGGCCTGCATTTGTTGCCGAGCTTCACGAGTACGGCGCGCATATCACGACGCCTTAGAATTCACGTAAACTTCACATCTGTACGTAAAAATTGAAAAAGAAATGCGCACATATGACCTCGCAAGAATTAACATGGTCTCGGGTGAGTGTGTGTGTGGGGGGGGGGGGGGGGGAGTGGGTAATTTCACGTCTACGAGGCGCCTGCCGAAGTTTCAAGGGCATGAAATTCATGGCACATGTTCTCGGAAGCGAAGCCTGAACTTGAATGCACTAATACGCCGCGTGAAGGTTTACCAACTGATTTTTCACTAAATGCTTATGCTGCCTGGAATTTGCTTTTACGTGCCACTGACGTTCCGTTAGTCCGAGGCTCAAGTAATCGCTTTTTTGCTGCACGCGCAATTCAGGTCCCCAATCGCACTGGATTATATTTTCTCATTTTTTCATTCAATTCTTGCATGTGCTGTTGTAAGGCATTCTAGGGGTAAAATACTGCACGTCTGCACCAAATGTGCTCTGAAGTTTGTTCAGACAACTGGGCAGATGTGGATTTTTCCGACACTTCGCTAAATGCTTGTTGGCAACGTAAAATGCTTGTTTACCATTTAGGATTATTATAGAGTTATCACATTTCTTGCAGGTATGCCGCCAACAAATCCTGCATACGGGATGTTGCAGGACGTTTTGAAGTTGGGGAAAGCACGCACCACAGGATGATGTATCGAGTCATGGATTTCCTTCTCGACATTGCCCCCCGCATCGTGACTTTCCAAGATGACATGGAGAAACTTTCCAATGAATTTAAGCAGGTAAGAAAAACCCCAGTTTCAATTTCAACTGCGAAAATGTTTTTGATTTAATCAAAGCAGCATGTCAGTCGCTTCCATCGGAATGATTCTTCAAAGCTGTGTTTTTATTCATAAAGGCGATCTAACTTCTGGTAAACATAATATATACAGGACACCCTTGAATTTAATGTATAACAGTACGGTTGCAACAAGCAGTGAGTTATCGTTTATGCTGTAAGCTGCATGGGGATGTTGAAGAGCTCGCAAAACCATTGTTTTCAGTTACATTGCAAGTTCTTCACACCTGCACGTAGTAGAGTTTGCGAAAAATGTCAAGCTGAAGCTCTCGGCTACTGTGCGTAATGACCCTTTGCTAGAACTGTCAATGCATTTCACGCCTTATTGCGCACGTAACCATGCCAATGAATTTACGTTAGTACTGCACAAAATGAACAGATACAAATACAAAACCAACATCCAAGGAAATCATGTAAAAATGAGCTGTGCTTGAAGCTTGAATTAGGGCACGACTTCACTTGCTACATTGTTAGCTCCTTTTGCTCTTTCTGTGAAACGTTCTAACATTTTTTTTCAAACTTTTAGGTTTCAGGGTTTCCGGACACTATTGGCTGCATTGACGGAAGCTATATTCCGGTCAGGTGCCCTGCTGGTAAAGTGCGGTCAGTGTATGTGAATCGGCACCACCACCCATCCTTGACGCTGCAGAGAATATCCGACAACCAGAAGAGGTTCCTAGATGTCAGCACAGGTGCACCCAGCAAAATTCACGACGCCAGGATCTTCCGGCTTTCAACCATTTCGAAGAAACTGCCTCAACTCTGCGCTGGGAAATACCACATTCTTGGGGACGCAGCGTACCCATCTCGCGAGTACCTAATGACTCCCATTCGCGACTACGGAAGCCTCGATGCCTCTGACAAGGCATTTAATGCCAAACTTTCATCTACCCGAGTGCTAATTGAAAATGCGTTTGGGGAGTTAAAGGGTAGGTTTCGGCAGCTGCAGCGTGTGGACCTCACGACAGTAGACAACATGACAAAATTTATCCTCGCATGCTGTGTCCTCCACAACATCTGCATTGACAATGGTGACTCGCCTGATGGTATAGTTCCAGGCATGCATCTGAACCCTCAGGGTGCTAATGATCCAAACCCTAGTGGAGCCAGAGTCCACAGCGGAACATCCAGAGAACAGAGCCTCTTACGGGCGCTTGCAGAGGTTAAGCGCGAAAAACTGAAATCTAAGATGGGGCTAAAGAGGAGGCAGCCACAAAATCTCTATTAATGGAAGCATATCGTGCTCAAACATTAAATGCAACGCTTAAGCAGCATCTCATTTTGCCAATGTTCAGGGACATTATGGTTGAGTATGAAATAAAAAGTCATGAAAACATGTTTTTCCAAAGCGCACCTCTTTATTGCTTGAACCCCAGGGCCTCGCGGATGAGCTGAAGTTTGTCTTCGTGCATCTTGCGGCGCTCCTGGCGTTCATGAATGCGCTCAGCTCGCCACGCCTCATCTCCTTTTCTTTTTCTAGCTCTTCCCTGCGAACCGCTCGCTCTGCACTAATAGCTCGCATTTGGTCAAAAAAATATTGCATCTGCTGCATACGACTGGTACTAGCGCGAAGTTGTTGTTGTTGTTGTTGTTTCTCTGTGAAAATGGCTCGTACCCAAAGAAGGGGATTGGCTGATTATAAGGTGAATTTGCCCTAAACTTTCAGCTATGCGTTATTCCTACAAAATTTTTTTGTAACTTAATTTTGATTTGAAATACCGATATCAAGTTTGCAGAAAAAAAAGAAGAAAAATAGTGAGACAGTATTTGAGCAAGAAAATTGTTTAGTCGCAGTGATGTATTCTTGAACGGCGAATAAAACATCCCTGTGGCTGAAACCCAGTGTACAGGCTCCAAATGAAAGAAGATCAGGTTGTGATAGTTGCGAGCCCAGTCTTTGAAGAGGTGGCGCTAGTATGCTTTGCCTGAATAAATCGAAACGGCGACAATGTAATAAAAATGACTGATCGTTTTCTCTTGATTACAGTATACAGTAAATGCACATAGAGGAATTCAATATGCCTGATCTATGCAAGTAAAAATTAAGGGAGGTAACGCGGCAACAAAATTTCGTGATGACAACTTCCATCATCCTTGAATTAGTCAGTTCACTGCGCCAGGGAAATAACGAGTGTTTGTACTCTGGAGAAGCCGTCAGTGCAGGGTCAGATAAATTTTGCCTGATTTTAAGTGTGCGAAATCACGCCACCGTATTGTATACTGTATGAGGGAAAATAGGAATAATTGGGGTTGAAAGGGATGCCTTCGCAAGAGAATCAGCTGTTTCGTTTAACAACAAACCTTTCTGCCCTGGTGTCCAGAATAAATGAATACTTCGGAGATGACAGGGAATCAATGATTTAAAAAGTTTCACTATAGGTGAGTGACCAGATGGGGACAGAGAAGAGCACACTGATAATGAATCAGTTATGACTGCTACGACTGGAATAGAAATATTTACTTTTCGCAAAGCTAACATTATTGCCATGAATTAAGCCAGAAAACAGGAAGAAAATTCGGTAAGCGAAGTGAAAATGACCAATCAAGTACGGCGCAATATATTCCAACGCCTGATTTTTCATGTGATTGAGATGCATCCGTTGCTATAATGATATTTGTTGGCAGATTACTTAAATGGCCCTGCAATAAACCATTTAAAATGCCTGTAGGTAATAGCTTAGCGTGAGTTGGAAAGATATCATGGTAAACAATTTCTCGAGAATTTTGTTGCTCAGTTAAAGGAATCAGATCACGAACGTCTACATTTAGAGGCTCAAGTAACGATTGAACAAATACTATTTGTGGTTTGTGAAATCTGGGCCAATGCACAGAGAAGAATCGGTCAGGATTGGAAATAAAAATAATTTGTTCAGGGTTAAACGGTGCTTCATATAGTCGTAAAAAGGTCTGCACCTTAAGAATGTTAAAGCGACATAATAAGGTTAGTATTCGTGCTTCAAGGTATAACACTGCATTTGCAGTATACTTTGGAAGTCCTAAGCAGAGCCGTAAAGCCTCTCTTTCCAACAGAACGAGTGGCCGAACTTTGTACGCTGGCGCACCAGAAAAAAGAATGCAGCCGAACTCCAACACAGGTCGGACATACATTTTATATATAATCAAAAGTGCCTTTCTTCTCATACCTGATCTACAATTGCTCAACCTCCGCAATACGCCTATCGCGCATGCTGCTTTTGTCGCGATGTATTCAATGTGAGGGCGCCAATTTAGATGTTAATTATACATAACTCCAAGATATTTCAATGATTGTACTTGTGGGATATCTTGAAGCTTGTAATTAATTGATATGCGCACGGGATCGTTGATAGGAAAAACGAGAATAGCACATTTACCGCTATTCAGGTTCAACATCAATCCATCCAGCCAATGTTCTATTTCATTAAGATATGCTTGCAAGATATTGTAGAGACAGTGGAAGTCATGTGCTATAGCAAAGAAAGAAATGTCATCGGCATAAACATAGGTTTTCACATCTGGATGAACGGGGATGGTACTAAGCAATATGTTGAATAAAACCGGGGAAATTACTGACTCCTGAGGTACTCCTCGGGTTTACTTGTGCTTACAGGAAGAGAAACCGCCTTGATAACAATAGAATTTTCTTCTACTTAACAATTTCGTCACCCATGCTACTATTTAAGGTGGACGTCCTTGACTCCATAACTGATTAGTCAAGATAGAATACTCTACACTATCGTATGATTTACATATGTCTAACGTTACTAAAGCCGCAAAGTGCTTTTTGTGACGGGCAATATGAATACGACTTTCCAGATCTACATGTGCATGCCATATGGAATATCCAGATCTAAAGCCAATTTGGGAAGAACTCAACAGTTGTTTCTCGTTAATAAACCTAATTATACGACCATGAAGTACCCTTTCAATAAGTTTTACTACATTTGACGTTAAGGCTATCGGCCGTATGTTGTCTAAATTATAGCCTGCCCCCTGTTTCTTAAGCAATGGTATAATTTCCGCAATCTTCCATTCAGAAGGGATCCATGCTCTTCTAAGGGAATAATTGACGAGACCTAATGGATCATTCGGATATTCCCTGTGAAGTATTTTTAGCATTGTACTTGTTATTCCATCGGGGCCTGGTGCTGCATTTGGCAATCTTTCCATAGCCTGATTTAATTCGGAAGTCGATATTTCTGTGTAGTCATAGATGGTTGTTGTGTAAGCCGAATTAGGAAGGTGCGTTGAGAACCTGTTTTCTAATTCTTTAGCCAACTGATTCAATGATTCCTGTAGTTCCTGTGAGGTGTGAACTTCTGAGTCAACGCTTCCTGGTATAGAAGTCTTCTTCCTACCACGAAGTAAATTGAATAAAGCACGTTTGTTATTCGATTTAGACAGGTACTCGAAATGTTCTTGATCATATTGCTCTTTCGCTCGCGATACAGTGCGTTTAAATGTTGCCGCAATGAACTGATAATCCTTCCAATTTTTGGGACTCTGATTAGATATAAGTCTTTTCCATGCAGCTTTTCTTCTTCTATAATCTCGTGTGCACTCATTATTCCACCGTCTACTAGGTTGGGCACTTTTGGATGACAACGAAGCAATTACAAATTCTGAAGTGTTCTTGAATATTTTTAAAGCAGAACAGAGATTTCTGCCGAGGTCTTCATTTTGACCACCGGACACTGCCCTAATGTTAAAACGCAAGCAGTCTTTAAATTTTTTGTAATTGATCAATGTTTTCTCTGTCCTTTCAATAGATTTCACAGCACATGAGATTTCAAAGTATACAGGAAGATGGTCTCTGTTTGAAGAGAAATAATTGTTTTCCAAGACTTCATTGAAACACTTGGGCTGCAAAACGTGAGATCTAATACCGATCGTGTCCGTCCGCGAATAAATGTAGGCTGTCTATCATTTAGGCAGGTAAGGTTTTTATTAATCATCCAATCCCACAGAAGAGTACCAGAAGGGTCTATTCGAAATCCCCATGAAACATGATGTGAGTTGAAATCACCAGTCAGAAGGAAATCATTCTTGCAATTAGCTAAGGCAGTATCTAATGATTGAGTATTATGCAAACCCGTTGTAAAATATGCGTTTATAAGTGAAAAAGGGTGGTGCCCTGGCAGACAGATGTCTATTGCCAAAATTTCACAGTCTGTGGACATTAGCTGAAAAGCTATGCTCGCTGTGTGGCAAAATTTATTCGAGACTAGTTCCCTTTTCTTGGTATCTGCTGGCCCTTTTGTGCTTTGCCCACTGTCTGAACCACTCGCCGGAGTACTGGAGATTTCAAGTGAAGCTGAGGGTACATCAGCTGAGTTGTCGGAACTTGAAGTTGCCTTGTACATCGCTCCATAAGAGTCCCTTTGGACTTCGGGCTCGAGGCTGTCGCGAATGCTTTCAATTTTTCGCATTTCATCGTCGAATGGGACGGGGCAAGGTTGAGCACCAAACTTGTTGTTATTATCGCACGCTTTTCTCTTTTGCCTCCTTGCCGTTTTTACGCGATTTTCACATTGCTGTGGCGTTTTGCTGCATCCAAGCACATCAGCCAGATCCTGGGAAACCTGTTTAAAAAGCATCTTCTTGTTCTTAAACTTTTTGAAAGGGCCAACTTGAGGGAAGTATTTATAGTAATAGTCTAATAGGAGTTTAGTTTCCCCTGGTGTCCACTCAGGAGCTGAAATAGAAATAAGGCAAGCTTGCTTAAAGCACATGTGTGGGGCACTGCAGTGGTAGAAGCTCACCTCCGCCACCTCTTCACCCTTGTGGCGCTGGGCCCGTTCCCATCTCGCCGGCGGTGGATGAAGTGGTGGTTTCTGCACGTGCAAAATAAGTGCGAGTGTAAAAACTCTGCTGAGATGCCTATTCTGTGCGACGTGAAATGATTATGGTGTTCTGTTCACGAAGTAAACGCCTCCGGGTGCGATGAATGATCCATACTGAAATTCGAAACAGCGCGAAAAGACGGCACAGGGGACACAACGACACAAGGTGCTGGTGTCGTCGTTTCCCCTTTCCCGTCTTTTCACGCTGTTTCGAATTTCAGTATGCACCACCTACTAGCCCAAACACCGTTCTAACGCAGAATGTAGCATGTCATCAGCCCTTGCCGAACGCAAACACAAAGCGGTTTGTTTTGTATACTCAAACAGGCATGCAAATAATTTCATAACGTCAACTAGTAGAAGTGACGATAAACGGCAGAAGAAAGTTCGACAGTACAGCACAAAAGTGCGGCCTCGTGACGCATACATACGCAAATTAGGTGCTCCATTTTCGTCCGTCGTTTCCTCACACACCGCGATGCTCCCGCTACCTGAAATGGGCCATTCAGCACAAAAAATAAAAAAAAAACTGGCAAAAAGTATTGCGAAATTTAGCCTGTGCTTGTTAGTTATTGGCACGTACTGTGGGGATTCTCGTCAATGCTCTCCCGCGCGGCCAAGACATCGATAACAACTGTAGTGAGCACAAACAAAGCCGTTAGATTGACGCTGTTATCGCTCGTAGCTATTTTTTGCGAGACACAATGCTTACCTGGTGTAGCGCGTAGAGCTGACCCCTT